ATATATATATACGTAAATTCAAGGCCTTTTAAGACTTTTTAAGGATCTGCAGGAACCTTGCTAAAGGCAAACATACCGATACACCAAGGAAGACATCAAAGCATCAAGACAGAAAACTTAAAGTAGTGTCTCCAAAACAGGAAACGCACAACAAAACAAAAGAGGAACGAATGGGAGGAAACTGCAGTCAATGTCTGTGACCGAACTGTAAGAAACCGCTTAAAGGAAATGGGATTTACATACAGAAGAACTAAATGTAAGTCATCATTAAAACCTAAACAGAAAAAAAACAAGCAATCATGGACTATGGATGACTGGATAAAAGTAATGAATCATGAATCTGCATTGGGCAAGGTGACGATGCTGGAATTTTTGTTTGGTGCCGTTCCAATGATATTTATAAAGATGACTGAATAAAGATAACACAGTCATTGATGATATGGGGCTGCATGTCAGATAAAGCCACTGGGTAGATGGCTGTCATTACATCTTCAATAAATACACAAGTTTACGTTGATATTTTGGACATTTTTCTTATACCATCTAATTGAGAGGATGTTTGAGGATTATGAAATCATTTTTCAAGATGATAATGCATCCTGCCATAGAGCAAAAACTGTAAAAACATTCCTTGAAAAAAAAAAAAACAAACAAACAAAAAAAACAAAAACAATGGCATGGCCAGCAAATAGTCCGGATCTCAATCCAATTGAAAATCTTTGGTGGAAGTTGAAGAAAATGGTCCATGACAAGGCTCCAACCTGCAAAGCTGATTTGACAACAGCAATCAGAGAAAGTTGGAGCCAGATTGATCAAGAGTACCATTTGTCACTCATTAAGTCCATGCCTCGGAGACTGCAAGTTGTTATAAAAGCCAGAGGTGGTGCAATAAAATACCAGTGATGTGTTGGAGTGTTCTTTTGTTTGTTTATTTTTCATGATTCCATATTTTTTCCCCTCTGCTTGGCCAAAAAAAGTAACTGTTACTGACGACCACAATTTTTTTCTTGATTTCTTTTAGTGTTTCTTAAAGCCAGAAAGTTGCCATTTGAAATGGCTTTAGTTTTGTGTCATGTCTGTGATCTGCTTTTTTTCTACAAAATTAAACAAATGAATGAACATCCTCCGAGGCTTGGTGATTCCCTAATTTTTGCTAGGGGTTGTAATAAGTTGTGATAGGTAAATCCCTAGAATTGGAGTGTGCTTTATTTTTCTCATTACTGTAATTCATGATACAGTCTTTGTAGACACTTGTAGTTTTAAGTTCACATTAAAAGTAAATGTACACACTAAAAACACCTGGTTTGCTTTTACAATATTAACTGGTGAAAGGCAGCCTTCAGGATTGTGGTGCATTTTGGGATCATTTGGCAATGAATTCTTTTCACATTTTATGCAAACGAGAGGGTTTTCAGAATGTCTGGACACTGTGTGCAAGAATGCCACAAAAGCTAAATCAAAACAGTGGTTTTCGGAGTCTGGGGACTGAAGAGTGATGTGGGAAAAATTAAAGAGGTCTTTAAGCAGAGCATAGAGCCATCATAAAGACAGACAAATGAGGGACTCTATCATGTTTACATAAAAGTAACTATTAGAGACTCACCTTGTAAGCTCTGTTTATTTGATTAGCAGCCCAAGCAGCATACTTGATGTTGTCTTTCTTCACCTTGGCACTGACTTTAGGACTGGCAGCAATGTGACTTGCAGACTTCAGAAAAAAATAAATTAATAAAAATAGAAAACAGGAGGAAGAGAAGTAAAGAAAAAATAGTAGAAAGAGTTTTCTAATATCAAAAGTCTGTGAAACGGCAATAAAAGAATAATTGAGATGAATGTGCAACCACTCTTACCATCTACCACTCCACTAGTCATTGTGGAAAGAAAAAGCAGACCTTGGCCTGATGATACAGGGGAAATCATTTATGGGAAGGAAAAAGTGAGCATTTTAATGCTTCATACGTAAATTTTCACTTAACAGGGCCTAATTTCTCCAACACCATTGACTCTTGGTGATGAAAAGGCCTAGTATTTTTTGAAAAAAAAAAAAAAAAAACAACACAAGAGCAGTGCCTTGTGAATCAGTCTGTGCCTACCCCGACAGCTCCACGCTGAACCACAAATCCCAAGTCTTTCCCATGTTCTTGCCATCATCTCCACACAGCAAACCCCAGAAGGCTTACAAGGCCTGCACTTCAAAGCTCTCCCTACCAGTGTGTTGAAACTTTAACTACATAGCAATCAACCTGGTCCTGTTTCTTTTTGAGAAAATGGTTTGACTTCTGTATTTTTTGTAAGCATTTTCATAATATCTTTTTTTTTTACAACTCAAGAGAAACCTCAGTTTAGATGATGTCAACCTTGACAGGCTATCCCTGAATAACACAGCAAGCACCATTCTGTGGGAATCCCCACTTGTGCTGTCGGTAACTAACCCACAACCCAGCTGTGGTCAATGCTACCAAGTCTACTGTCACACTGACTCAGATGGCTTGAAATGGTGAAAGTTTTCTGCCCTTTCACTGAACTTCCTGCACCTGTCGAGATTTGAAGCAAAGCAACTAGTGCACAATTTGCAATCAAGACTGATCTGCGATGGATAAAGATTAAACTACATTTTGAGGAATTCATTAAAGATGTTAAAAAACCCTACTATTATGTCTCCAGACTTGCTTGAGGGCTAATAGAGGCAAATGTTTTGGATTTAACCCTGACTTGCACCTCCTGCACGTGCTGCCTCCACCTCTGTGAGGTTTCAGTGGATATGGACGGCAGAACAAAGGAAAACATTTAGGCTGCTCCTCCCCACCACCTTTTATTCCCTGCAATGTTTTGTTTATGTTTTTATGCCAGAGTTCCCTGGCACTAACATACAACATTTTATTTAAACATGTATGCAGATAAAAGTTTCAGCCCAGACCACAATACAATTGACACTTGATTGAATAATTTGGCAATGACAAAATACCTGCTGAGGTTGGACTACACTTTCTTAGAAATTTTTCTTTCGTTTTTTGTTTCATCTCTATTTAACTAAGCCAAGGATGAAGCCCTATCAATGGTTATGGTTAGTGGGGATGGATATAAAATTCATATGAGCGGGAGCTTCTATCAAAGCCCTATCAAACTCAAAGCAAAACTATTGTTAAAATAAAGGACTTCTGAGAGGCAAACTTTCCCAGTGCTGGGGTTCACTGAGTCAGCAGTGAGCTGACCTTTCTGAGTGCCCTTCTTATTTCCCCCACTAACACAGTCTTACTTAAATCACTGTGGCCAACCTCAACATTGACAAACCACAGGTTACAAAAATGGTTCTGTCGTTATTATATTTTTTTCTTTTTTCATTTTCTTTCTCCCTGCCTCTGTCCTCTATTTCTTCAACAAAGCATTACTCACCATATACAGACCAAACAACGCCCTCATGTTCCGGTTGTTCAGCCTCAGCGCCTGAGCAAAATACTTTCTGGACAGCTCAAGGTTTTCCAGCCCTCCCTGCGTGTACTTCACCTGTGTTAGGAGGTAGACACAGCTTTGTTGAAAGGCAACTCAAGCAATGACAGAATGACATCTGAATAAGCAATGCGTGACCACCCAGTGTAAACATCTTTTTTTGAGTCTAGAATAAATTCAGTATTTCTCGCTGTTCAAAAAAGCATCAGTGACAGAGTTAACGTTCCCACCACAGTTTGCCTTAAAGTTCGAAGGTAGACACCCAGGGGAGCACCCACCTCAGCATATTGTTCACAGTATAAGTGATTGTGAGGATTGGTCATCATCAGTTCTTCCAGACAAAATGCTGCTTTTCCATAGCTGCAGTAATGACAAAACAAACAGTAATCAACTGATACAGCTCAGGGATGGGTCATCTTTTAGCTTTCTACGCTGTGAAGCACAACTTATCTGCCTAACAACCTTACAAGCAAAAATTTAAATTCAAACTACAGAGAGTACAAGTCAGTTCACAAAGACATACAATTTATAATGTACACATGTACACTGCAGAAATGTGAATAAAATTCCACTGGATGAGAAAGTTTATTTACATGCACAGTAAAGGGTACCAAGTTTTCACAGCTGGCTAAGATAAAGCTTGTCTACTGTGGTGATGTTACCCATTTTTAGGACACAGAGGATCAGTCTTGTATGCCCGTGTGTTTTTTTGCCTGTAATGTGCAGTTAACTACCTTCCTGAGGTCAGCACTACAAAAAGAGCTGGCACACTGTACCTATACTCAGATGAGATCACTTCTCAGCAGCACACTATTGAGCTGTTGACCTCACACTAATCTGTAGTGATTTCCACTTCTAATGCAGTTTTTCTTTTCCCATGATATAGTATATTATTAAACACAAAGATATGAACGACTGTACAGCTAACAAAATACAAAAAATAAAATAAAATAAAAAACATCAGCGTTGTTCGTCTACCTTTAAACAAACTAAACCTTAAGGGGATTTTGTAATGATTAATCACTTTTTTAAAGCTTTATGTGACCTCTAAATTTCTATTTTTAAGTTTTGTGCAGCAACATTTCACACATTTCTCAACAAACAGAATTTTATATCGCCTTGAGTACTGAGAAAAAATGTGCGAATGTAGTTTTGTGGATACAAAAATAATCTAATTGTTGATTACGAGAACATCAAGTGCTTACCACTCTACCTAAAGTCATCAATGTTAACAAATTGAATATTTACCAGTATAGCCAGGCAAAGGTTAGGACACAGAGAGGAATAAACACTGAGAATGAACAGAGTAAAGGGGAACATCAGAGGGCTTGAAGGGTTTAGGGAACTGCTTACGATTACCATTTCCTTTCTATAAAGGCTTTCAGATGTGCTCGTGCAGCAGCCATGGCCTGCAACAGAGCTTGCTCCATCAGCCATCAACCAGAATCTTGTAACAGATCCAGAACCTTTCCTGTACTTTGTCTGAGCCATCTAACCCTACCACCTCTGAGCTACTCTATAGAAAGATTCCTAAGCTAACTCTTAACTGGACTGCTCAAGCAAAATTGTAGCTGCTGTGATGTGCAAGACTGTAGATTTTTACATGTTTCTCTTGGAGTGTAGTAAAACCATCAGTAGTGGTTTTCCAACAGTTTGATACCACATTAAGACTATGCAGAGGACAAGAATGGAATCAGACTTGGTAAAATATGTTTACAAAATTTATTACCATTTAACATTACATTTTGGATGACCAGTTAAACAATTTGGGTCAAACTCAGAGCAAGGAGCACATTCAAGCAAAATCTAAATATGTGGTTGTTATGTTAGGCAGGCAGAATTAGCAGGAATGCATAGCAGTTAGAAGGCTACTTATTGGATATTTCATGCTTTTGTTTGGGAGGCTTTATGGCTGTGTTGCCAGAGGAAATCCAAGGGTGATACCATTATCTCCTAGATAATCCCCAACACTTCTAATATCACACCATTCACTCCCACAGCCCCTTATCTAAAGGCGTGTCAATTTCTTTTCATTCTTTTCTTTATTTTGGGTAAAAGCTCCTAGTATCCCCTCCTCTTCTTCTTCCGCTTAGTCAGGCATTATCGCCGCTTGTTTCCAGAGAGACAGAGTGGACAACCGAGAGAGAGCACACTAGCTGTTTAATTCCCAAGAGAATATAGTGGTGCCCCCCCACCCCAAATCATGCTTTCTCAGTCAGAAAAAAACAAAGGTTGGTGATGAACCACACAAAATAAAGGTTGGTGATGAACCACACAAAATAAACTGTCTTCCCCTAACTGTGCAACACTCTTGGAGCAAATATTAGGCAAAGCAATGGCATGTCTACCTCAGGCCCTGTTTACATGTGAACAATCTCTAAAAAAAAAAAATTAGTTGCCAGAGGCTTGCCAGATAGAAAATGACAAATGTACTATTGCTTTAAATGTATTGTATCTAGACCCAGATTATCTTGTATGCTAAATGAGGGTGTGCTTTCTCGGCTAGTGCAGGGGGAACATGGTTGTACACAGGTGTTGTGTACATGAATAGCTGAACTGCAGCATAAATGCGACGGTTTCACTCAAAATCAGCATAGTGTGAACTGGGCCTCATTGCTGTAATTGTAGCTCCAGCATCAACATTTGAAAAACGTAATCAGTACTTTTAAGTTGACACAATTAAACAGTCATCATGCCAGATATATTTACATTGTTAGAAAGTCAAAGTATGTTCTTCAAGACATACTAAAACCACACTTCTGCTGAAAATAAAAGTATATTTACTCATGTTCATTGATGTAGAGATCTGATAATTCATGCCATGCTTCTTGGTCTCCAACAAACCTGGAAACAGACATTCACATTATCTTCTATTCCTGAAACACAGTGCATGTTTTTGTTACAAAATAACATAATGAAGACAGTTTTTATTACAACACAGGGTTCGACAAATCCTATTGCCTGACTACCCGGGGCAGGTAAAACTCATATTCGGGCAGGTGGGTGTGTCCCGATGCCTGCCCGACAGGCAGGTAAACCATTTCTTTTGTTTTTTTTTTTACTAAGGCCATTTATTGAAAATATTCTGAAAATAAATTAATATCGCGTTTTAAAACACATATAGAGAGAATAAATCCTCAAAAATTACTCCTCCCGCTGTAGAAAAGTTACGTCGTGTCACTGGATCATAATCTCTCCCCTCCCTCCCACTGCACGTCACGCAGAGCAAAGCATTAACAATCGTACATCCAAGTTGTCGGAGAAAAAACAGATTTTATGTATTGTTACCCACAGAGATGAAAAAAGATGTGGACGTTCGTTCAATCATAAATGCTTCTTGCTAATGTAGGCTTGTGGTCTGAGAGCGCAGAGCAACAGCGGATCAGTTCAACAGGCAGAAGCTCACTGTATGGCCGATATTGCATTTATTTGACTTCACCATTCTTACATTCCAGTTATCTGAAATTGTTTTACGACTAAATTAGACATATTAGTTATTTAAGATAACGACAGACTGACAGACAGACAGACAGACAGACAGACAGACAGACAGACAGACAAACTTTATTATAGACTCAAGGTCCAATTAGCATAAAAAAGAAGATAAAAACACACACAACAAAAGAATAAAATAATAAAAAAAGTACAATAAGGTTCTATAAAATAGCAAACAATATTAT